CCAGGGACACTGCGGTGGGGAAGGGAAATGCTGAGTAGGGGGGAGACTTGTGGGGGGGGGGGGGGGTCACACCGGGATTCTTGCTAGGACAGGTCTCCAGTTATAGAACTCCATGGGTCTTGCGGGTGCACACTGCTGATGCAGGAAGGGAGTAGAGATTAGTGGTTAGAGCAGGGGAGAAGGGCTCAGGGGATCCAGGTTCTGTTCCCAGCCCTGCCACAGAGTCCCTGGGTGACCATGGGCAAGTCATGTAGGAGAGGAATCGAGGCACAGGGAGCCTGTGACATAGGGATAGAAGTGGCTGAACTCCAGGGGTTGGGGACACTCAGACCCTGTGCCCAGTGTGAAGGGGCCTAACGGGGTGGAAACATCCCCCCGGGAATCCCCTCTATGTCCTGCACAGCCCAGAATCTGGGGATCACAAAGAGGTTCAAAGTCACACACCCCAGCCCTGCCCTGAGGAACAGAGCAGGGGAGAATCGGGCCGTACCTGACTGCCGGTGCAGGTCACCTGGGTGAGGAAGAGCAGGTCGGCCAGGAAGAGGCAGAGGCAGAGCTGCAGGTGGAGGGAGGTGCTGACGTTGCGGATGGAACGGCAGAGGAGGAAGGTGAGGATGGCGAGGAAGAGGCATGGCAGGGAGAGGGTCAGTCCCACGTAGGTGATGATGGTCAGCGTGTAACTCTCCTGTAACACAGCAAAGGGAGAATCACCAGTGACCCCAGCCCAGCCCCCTTGGCTCCGACTCAGCCTTTTGTGCAGCAAAGCCTCCAGTCACGCCAGGGAGAGCTTTGCCCACGGCTGAGTGCGGAGCTCAGGGTCCAGCCCTGTGATCCGAGTCTCACGGTGAGATACCGTCACTGTGGTGGGAGCCATTAGGACGGCGAAGCTGGAGAGATGGTCACAGCTGCAGTTGGTGTAAGTGCTGTTCGTGTGCACGGTGGTGCAGCCGTCCGGAGACCAGCTGCCTTTCTCAGCCTCTACTTTCCAGTAGACGCAGAGAGCCTCTTCCTCCTCCTTTTTGGCCTGGAAATACAACAGAATCATCCTCATCCTCCCAGGACCACAGGACATCGTTTCTGTTATCACATGTCTATAGCAAACCCGAGGCCACCTACAGCTCCACGGCTCTCCCCACGCAGCCCCCAGTGCGCACTGGGGCCATCCTTGCGACAGCGGAGAGAGAACGGAGATCCTGATGCTCCAAAAGCATAGGCCCTGCTACTGGAGCAAAAGGGAGATGAATCCTTGCTAGCCGTTAGCACAATAAGGAACGTGGCACATGGCTGAGCAGTTCTGACTGCATCCAGCAGAGGGCAGTGCTGTGTGCACACATACATATATGCACCCTAACCACTTCATTACCGTATCAAAGTGTTTCATGCTGATTCCCTGAACCCCAATATCTACAGAAAGTGGCTTTCCAGTTATTCCGGCTCAGGGATGAGCTAGGCAGAGCTGTTACCCTAGAGCAGAGGTGGGCAAACTTTTAGGCCCAAGGACCACTTTGGGGAATGGAAAATGTATGACGGGCCATGAATGCTCACAAAATTGGGGTTAGGGTGTGGGAGGGGTTGAGGGCTTTGTTTGGGGGTGCAGGCTCTGGGGTGGGGCTGGGGATGAGAGGTTGGGGGGGCAGGAGAGTGCTCCGGGCTGGGATCAAGGGGTTTGGAGAGCGGGAGGGGGATCAGGGCTGTGGCAGGGGGTTGGGGCATGGGGAGAACTTGAGGAGTCCAGGGGCCAAGCAGCGCTTAAATCAAGCAGCTCCCAGAAGCAGTGGCATGTCCCTTCTCCAGCTCCTACGCAGAGGCATAGCCAGGCGTCTCTGCACGCTGCCCCATCCGCAGGCACCGCCCCTGCAGCTCCCATTGGAGCACCGGAGGGGGTCATTGGAGCATGTAGGAGCTGGAGCGGGGCTGTGCCGTGGCTTCTGGGAGACATGTGGTGAGGCCCGTGACCCTTTGCCCAGGCCGGAGTGGGGCCGAGCCATGTGGTCTGTCTCCCAACCCAGCGCTCCAACCAAATTGGGGCCGAGCTGCATGGTGCGGCCCCCAACCCCAGCGGGAGCTCGTGTGTTGTCTTAAAATGGCTTCCTGTCCAGATGCGGCCACGGGCTGTAGTTTGCCGACTCCTCCCCTAGAGCACTTTGCACAGCCATGTGTCATGGTGCGACGCCCGGTAACCTCCTCCAGTAACACAGCCCCAGTGCATCGGGAATAAGGAGGTCGCCGCTTCTCAGGACCATCAGGAGCCAGAAAGGCAGCACGGTCCAAATGCCCGGCAGGAGATGGTGCCTTCTATAGGCCCCTCTGGAGCCCCAGATATGGAGCAAAGGGAAAGGCTCTTCCTTCACGCACCTGTCTGTGGCGCAGGGTGAAGTGTGCGGGTCTGGAGAGGTGAATGGGTCTCCCGTCTCCGACGGCCCCACTCACCACCCTGGAGTTGAGATGACTCTTCCCCAGCTTCCCACCAGCCGGTAGATTTCCCTCGCTGGGACGTCTCGCACGGATGATGGAGTCCAGGGTGGAGTAGGAAATAAAAGCAGCAGCCCCCACACCTGCTGGGAGAGGAGATGATCCCTCGTTAGGGAGCTGGGGACGCTCTGGCAAAGAAGGAGCCGGCCGGGTGCCCAGGGGCCACAGTGAGTCTGGGGCAGATCTGGGAATGGAACCCAGGATCCTGGCCACAACTCTTAAGATTTAGCCACTGGACCATGATACCTCCTCCCTCGGAGCCGCCAGGAACGCGTCCGGCTGGAAATGTCCAGCTGCAGGATGCAGAGATGAAGATTCAGTTTTTCCTCAGCGAGAGCAGGAGAGGGGCTGGCCAGGGATGAGCTTCCCCTGGTGCTGGAGGATTCGGGGCCCTGAATATGGCAGCTGAGGTACATGTTACCCTGGTCCCCCACATCTGCATTTGAGGATCTAGCTAGACCAGGCCGTCCCTGCCCTTTCCATTCTCTGGGCCCAGTTCATACCAGAGACCCTCTCATGAGCCGTCTTCCCTCTGCGCCCCCAACTCCTCACTGCTCGGGGCTCAAGCTGTGGGACAGCCAGGAACGAAGGCGTCAGCTCCATGGCCACAGCCTGAGAACCACTGGCTCAGCCAGCAAGGAGCACTCCAGGGCTAGAGACAGAGGCCAGGGCCCGGCCTGGGGATCCATGGGGAGGGAGGGAGGGAGAAATGGGGAACCCAGACTGGAGTTCGGTGCCCGGGAACTGCTCTGTGCTGTGGTTTGGGCTCTGGGTGTCTCCATCCCCAGGAGCTTACCTTGTGTGGCTGCCCCGGTGACTGTATCACAGTGCACGACCATCGTCTCCTCGTGAGCTCTCAGCGTGAAGACCTCAGTGTCCCGGCTGCAGTTTCCTGTGACGAGCCGCGTCTGGATAGCTGCAGGGGGGTGGGGGTGAGGAATGACAGAGCCCCTCACTGTGAAACCACTTCCCTGGGAATCTGTCCATTCTGGGCCAGATCCACCCCCCTCCCACTCCACTTGGAGCTGGGGGGCTTCAGGGCACTTCGCACTGTGGGAGGTGGAAGTTTGGAGCCCCCCCCCCCGAGTTCCATTGATCACCATATCCTCTCCCCCGATTCTGGCTGTGTCTCCCTGGGGTTGCTGCGTCCCCAGAAGGGAGAGTATTCGGGGTGGGGGGTGGCAACTGGCTCAGCGTGGCAGCCCATAGTGGTGGAATGCCAAATATTACATTTAAACCCTTCTCGGGCATTGCTTTTGCTCCTGGGGGCACTGGTGGGGCTGAGTTATATTTCCTGGTGCAGGGGCAGTGCTGGTCTGTGTCTGTACTGAACACAGGCTCACATCCACAATGGTATATAGGCTCTAACTTCCAGTGGATTTGGGGCACAGTGTGTAACCCCATATCTCACGGCAGCCAGCAGGTGGCGCTGAGAGCCACACGTCCCCCCTCACCCATCGATTCTGTCATCATGTTCTGTGTTGTCTTATCCGGAGACCGGAGCGCAGTGGCCAGCGCAGCCCATTCCACGTTCAGCAGCAGGACCGTCAGGGCGGACCCCACGTCCCCCTTGTCTCCGCCATCCCAGAGGGAGGTGCTGTTCAGGAGGGCGTTGAAAGGGAGAGTCGCGTTCTGGGGATAGGAAAGGAAAGGCCCTGGGAGCGAGGAGTCCGGGGGTTTAGGTGCCAGGTCCCGTGTGTTCCCAGGGGGCATCGGGTATCACAGCCTCTCCCAGTTGAGGGGGCTGCAGTGCTCTCAGAGGGGGAGCCCTTTACAAAGGGGGTCCACTGAGGCTGAGTCGGGGCCCCACTGGGACCTGAAGCTAACTGGGGATAGAACCCTTTGTCCTTCCTTCTTCGCTCCCACATCCCTCCATTACAGATGCCAGGGAACAACATTGTCACAAGCCCACGGCTTCCTAGGCTGTCTCTATGCTGCATCCGGCAGCTGCTCAGAAATGTCTGGCAGGGCAGGGATAGAGCCCAGATCCTGCTGCCTGAAAAACTCAGGTCACTGACAGATGAGCTGAGGAGAATCCACATTAACTGTTAGCAGTATAGCACCTCTGATGAACAACAACAGTTCTGAACACTAGAGGGCGCATGTGGGTGGACAAACACAAACGTGCACTCACACCACTACAGGAGCATGTGCGCGTAGACACAGACAAACACCACTAGAGGGTGCACCCCCCCCTCCCTACAGCAGTGGAGGGCACAGATCTTTTCTGAAGAGTATCTACATGTCTCCCTCCCGCCCAGTGAGACTCCTAACCCAGCACACAGGGCCTGCTCTAGGCACCAGCAAACCAAGCACGTGCTTGGGGCGGCACATTTGCAGGGGTGGCATTCTGGTAATCTTTTTTTTTTTTTTTGCTTCAAAAGCCAAGAGCCGGCCCTGGCAGCAGCAGTGCATCGTGGGTGGGGGGCGCCCTGAGGCTGCTGCAGTTCGTGCAGCGGGGAACAGCACCTGCACTTTGTGGCTGGGCTGAGCAGGCTCCGAGCGGGGGACACTTGGGCTGGGGGCAACCCCGTGGGACACACGGAGCTGCCTGCAGATGCCGCAGGGCGGCCGCCCCCCAGCGCTGCAGCTGGGGCTGAGCGAAGCGGTCCAAGCCGCCCAGGGACTGTGGCAGGGTGGCCAGAAGCAGCAGCAGCGGGGCCATAGAGGGCGGGGCGCTGCCATGCAGGGCCCGCGTCCTGCTCTCCGGGGCTCCACTCCGTCTGGGTCTACCCTGCCCCGGTTCCTCAGCTCCCTGCTGGGTCCCGGCCGGTCCTGGAGGTGGGAGCCCTGGCTGGAGGGACCCTGGGCTGAGGCATGGCCCGGGAGCCCCGCTGTTTACCCCGACCCTGCCAGCCCCTGACCAGCTGGAGGCGAAGGGGGAGCAGGCGGAGTCAGCACTGGTGCGGGGGAGCCCAGGGCTGGGGCGGCAGGGGGTGTGGGTGGATGGGGAGAGTCCAGCGCTGGGGCGGCATGACATGCGAGTGGGGGAGGGCACTGGTGTGGGGGGGTGAGAGCCCAGGGTTCAGGTGTGGGGCAGCCAAAAATTTTTTTGCTTGGGGCGGCAAAAAACCTAGAGCCGGCCCTGCCAGCACAGCATCACGCAGGGCTCTGGGGCACACACAGGGGCACTAGCCCTCAGGTCACATTCAGCGGGCAGAGCCTCTCACCTCCAATGATAACGCCGCACTCCCATCTCCACACATGGACTTCAAAATCTCTAAGGCTGAATTAAAGAAAGAGCAAAAACCGCTGCTTCTGCCGCTCCGCTTTCCCTGCAGAGAGACCCAGGGCAGAGGGTGAGTTCTGCAAGTGCTGAAGGGCGACCGACATTGGTGTTTGCCTTATGCAGGGGCCTGATCCTGACATGCCTCATTGAGTGAATAAAGCTTTTATATCAGACGTGTCCATCGTCTCCTCGTGAGCACCTCAGACGATGGTGCTGTTGCCACAGCGCGAGGTTCATGTGGAGAAAGGGAACAGTTTCTAGTAACAGCTGGAATACATTAATTCTTGGGATTAAGCCCCTTTTTGTTCACGTCGGAGGTGGATGCATTGACAGAAAGCAGCCAGAGAGTAGCCCCCTGGTACCTGCCTTTTGCAGATGACATAGTGCTCGTGGGGGGAGAGGAAAGAGGAAGTGAAGGAAGATGCAGCGAGACATGGAGGTGCATATTGGAAAGAAATGGCATGAAAATCAGCAGAAGAAATCAGAGTATATGGTCTGTAGATTCAGTGCTCTCCTCAGGAAGACAATGGGCGTGTAAGTCTGGGGCCAGCCACTAGCAAAGCTATAGAAGTTTTAGAAGGTTCGATATCAATTTGCAAACACCTAGAAGATAATATGGTGATAAGTAACAGTCAGCATGGATTTGTCAAGAACAAATCCTGTAAAATCAATCTGATAGCTTTCTTTGGCAGGGAAACAAGCCTTGTGGATGGGGTCATAATGGACCACAAGATAAATCTGAGTCAACAGGGTAATGCTGTTGCAAAAAAAGCAAACATCATTCTGGGATGTATTAGCAGGAGTGTTGTAAGCAAGACACGAGAAGTAATTCTTCCGCTCTACTCCGCTCTGATTAGGCCTCAACTGGAGTATTATGTCTAGTTCTGGCGCCACATTTCACGAAGGATGTGGACAAGTTGGACAAGTTGGAGAAAGTCCAGAGAAGAGCGACAAAAATGATTAACGGTCTAGAGTGCTCTGCGATAGGAGAACACCTATCAAACAGAAAGGTAAGATCTAGAAGATGGTGATCAGGGCTGCACTTTTGTATGGCTCCGAAAGCCAGGGACTGAGGAAGAGCCAGGGGCTATTCTTGAAGACAGAAGAAGTGAAAATGTTAAGATGGATGCTTGGAGTTACAAGGATGGACCGTGTTTGAAATAAGGGAATTAGGGCAAGAGTGAAAGTAGGACCAATTATAGAAAAGCTGAGGGAACCAGGCTCACATGGTGTGGGGTTGTGACAAGGAAGTCAGAAAAACAAACAGGAAACAAGGTGCTAAACCTAGATGCAGAAGATAAGAGGAGTGGGAGACCCCAAATTAGATGGTGTCAAGTATCAGGGGGTAGCCGTGTTAGTCTGTATCCACAAAAACAACAAAGAGTCAGGTGGCACCTTGAAGACTAACAGATTTATTTGGGCATAAGCTTTTGTGGGTAAAATTCCTCACTTCTTCAGATGCATGGAGTGAAAATTACAGACGCAGGCATTATATAGAACCATATGGTGACTTGCCTGCCTGGTGCGAAGGTTGCAGATCTCTCGAGGCATCTAGATAAACTTATGTGTAGTGCTGGGGAGGAGCCGGGGGTCTTGGTACATGTAGGTACCAATGACATAGGGAAGGGTAGGAGAGACGTCCTGGAGGCCAAATTTAGGCTGCTAAGAAAGAGACTGAAATCCAGGACCTCTATGGTGGCATTCTCAGAAATGCTCCCAGTTCTACGTGCAGGGCCAGGTAGGCAGGCAGAGCTTCAGAGTCTCAATGCGTGGATGAGATGATGGTGTAGGGAGGAGGGGTTTACATTTATTGGCAACTGGGGAAACTTTTGGGATGGGGGAGCCTATACAGGAAGGATGGGCTCCACCTAAACCAAAGTGGATCCAGACTGCTGGCACTTAACATTAAAAAGGTTGCAGAGCAGTTTTTAAACTAAGATGGGGGAAAGCCGACTGCTGCAGAGGAGCATGTGGATCGGACAGAGACTTCTCTTAGAGGAGCGTCTATTGATAGAGATTCTCTAGGTTTTAGTCAGGAGGAGAGGATGGAAGTGGATAAAGTATGGGCCAGATCAGATGAGAAAGATTCACATAAAAAAGAATCTGACACATCAGGAAACAGGTTTTTAAAGTGTACACAAATGCTAGAGGTCTAAATAATAAGATGGGTGAACTAGAGTGCCTCGTGTTAAAGGAGGATATTGATATAATAATCATAACAGAAACCTGGTGGTGTGAGGACAATCAATGGGACACAATCATTCTGGGGTACAAAATATATCGGAAGGACAGAACAGGTTGTGTGAGGGGGGAATGGCACTATGTGTGAAAGAAAATGTAGAATCAAATGAAATAAAATCTTAAATGAATCCACATGTTCCATAGAATCTCTATGGATAGTAATTCCATGATCTAATAAGAATATAACAGAAGTGATCTATTATCAACTACCTGACCAGGACAGTGATAGTGATGATGAAATGCGAAGGGAAATTAGAGAGGCTATCAAAATAAAGAACTCAATAATAGTGGGGGATTTCAATTATCCCCATATTGACTGGGTACATGTCACCTCAGGACGAAATGCAGAGACAAAATTTCTCGATACTTTAAATGACTGCTTCTTGGAACAGCTGGTACAGGAACCCACCAGGGGAGAGGCAACTCTAGATTTAGTCCTGAGTGGAGCGCAGGATCTGGTTCAAGAGGTAACGATAACAGGACCGCTTGGAAATAGTGACAATAAAATAATAACATTTAACATCCCTGTGGTGGGAAGAACACCTCAGCAGCCCAACACTGTGGCATTTAATTTCAGAAAGGGGAACTATGCAAAAATGAGGAGGTTAGTTAAACAGAAATTAAAAGGTACATTGACTAAAGTGAAATCCCTGCAAGCTGCATGGACACTTTTCAAAGACACCATAATAGACGCTCAACTTAAATGTATCCCATATTAAAAAAACACAGTAAAGGAACTAAAAAAGAGCCACCGTGGCTTAACCACCATGTAAAAGAAGCAGTGAGAGATAAAAAGGCATCTTTTAAAAAGTGGAAGTCAAATCCTAGTGAGGTAAATAGAAAGGAGCATAAACACTGCCAAATTAAGTGTAAAAATGTAATAAGAAAAGCCAAAGAGGAGTTTGAAGAACAGCTAGCCAAAAACTCCAAAGGTAATAACAAAACGTTTGTTAAGTCAGAAGCAGGAAGCCTGCTAAACAACCAGTGGGGCCCCTGGACAATCGAGATACAAAAGGAGCACTTAAAGATGATAAAGTCATTGCGGAGAAACTAAATGAATTCTTTGCTTCAGAGTTCACCGCTGAGGATGTTAGGGAGATTCCCAAACCTGAGCCGGCTTTTGTAGGTAAGAATCTGAGGAACTGTCACAGATTGAAGTGTCACTAGAGGAGGTTTTGGAATTAATTGATAAACTTAACGGTAACAAGTCACCGGGACCAGATGGCATTCACCAGTTTGGAAAGAACTCAAATGTGAAATTGCGGAACTATTAACTATGGTTTGTAACCTGGTCCTTTAAATAAGGTACTGTACCCAATGACTGGAAGATAGCTAATGTAACGCCAATATTTAAAAAGGGCTCTAGAAGTGATCCTGGCAATTACAGACCGGTAAGTCTAACGTCAGTACCAGGCAAATTAGTTGAAACAATAGTAAAGAATAAAATTGTGAGACACATAGAAGAACATAAATTGTTGGGCAAAAGACAACATGGTTTCTGTAAAGGGAAATCATGCCTTACTAATCTATTAGAGTTCTTCGAAGGGGTCAACAAATATGTGGACAAGGGGGATCCAGTGGACATAGTGTACTTAGATTTCCAGAAAGCTTTTGACAAAGTCCTTCACCAAAGGCTCTTATGTAAATTAGGTTGTCATGGAATAAGAGGGAATATCCTCTCATGGATTGAGAACTGGTTAAAAGACAGGGAACAAAGGGTAGGAATAAATGGTAAATTTTCAGAATGGAGAGGGGTAACTAGTGGTGTTCCCCAAGGGTCAGTCCTAGGACCAATCCTATTCAACTTATTCATAAATGATCTGGAGAAAGGGGTAAACAATGAGGGGGCAAAGTTTGCAGATGATACTAAACTGCTCAAGATAGGACCAAAGCAGACTGTGAAGAACTTCAAAAAGATCTAAAAAAACTAAGTGATTGGGCAACAAAATAACAAATGAAATTTAATGTGGATAATAGCCATTAACGGACTTAACCTCCATGAATTTATCCAGTTCTCTTTTAAACGCTGTTATAGTCCTAGCCTTCACAACTTCCTCAGGCAAGGAGTTCCACAAGTTGACTGTGCGCTGTGTGAAGAAGAACTTCCTTTTATTTGTTTTAAACCTGCTGCCCATTAATTTCATTTGGTGGCCCCTAGTTCTTGTATTATGGGAACAAGTAAATAACTTTTCCTTATTTACTTTCTCCATATCACTCATGATTTTATATACCTCTATCATATCCCCCCTTAGTCTCCTCTTTTATTTATTTATTTATATTTGCTGTTGTCTCTTGAGCAATTATCAATTTGTTAATTTACTGGCTTCCCACTGCTGCCTCTGACAGCCCCAATGCTCGTTAGAAAAATCTCGTTTTCTCCCTGCCGTTCCTCGTACTTATGTTAAACTAGAAACCTCCACAAAGGGCCGAGATGGTCAAATTAAAATATATATAAAATCGATTGCATCCCCGCCCCTTCTGGCAATAACAGATCGAGTTAAAGACCATGAGTGTAGCTTTTGCTTAATTTAATTTCTTTTAATAGGCAGGAAAAAAATAAGAATAATTTTTAAAAATAAGAAAAATCCAAACCCTGGATTTATTGGAAAAAAAGAAATAAAGGAACGAAAAAAGAATAAAAAGAAATAACATAAAATTCCATATTAAAGTGGTTAGTAAAAACAAACAAAAACCCAACAAACGTACCCAACAGATTACTATTGCTAGTGTTAAAAA